ATAGTAAAAAAGGTTTAATTTTAGAAGTTGATTTAGAATACCCTAAACAACTACATGATCTACATAACGATTATCCTGTTGCACCAGAAAAAATTAAGGTATCTAGCGACATGCTGTCAAAATATTGTAAGACAATTGCTTCTAATTATAATATATCAACAGGTTTATTTAATAAGTTAATACCTACATTGCAAAATAAATACAAATACGTTTTACATTATAGAAATCTTCAACTATACTTAGATCTTGGGTTAAAGTTAACTAAAGTCCACCGAGTATTGAAATTTAATCAATCTCCATGGTTGAAAAAATACATAGACTTTAATACTCAAAAAAGAACTAATGCAAAAAATTCTTTTGAAAAAGACTTCTTCAAATTAATGAATAATTCCGTGTTCGGTAAGACCATGGAAAACTTACGAAAAAGAGTAGCTGTTAGACTAGTAACTAATAAAAATAAATTATTAAAATTAGCTTCAAAACCTACTTATGTAAGTAGTAAAATTTTCAATAAGGAGCTTGTGGCTGTGCATAAGATCAAAGAAACACTAACCCTTAACAGGCCGGCATATGTGGGTATGTGCATCTTAGATTTAAGTAAAACGTTGATGTATGATTTTCATTACAATTATATCAAGAAGAAATATGGTGATAAAGCTGAACTTCTTTTCACCGATACAGATAGTTTAACATATGAAATCGAAACTGAAGATATCTATCAAGATTTTTGGAATGATAAAGATAAATTCGACAACAGTGACTATCAACAAGATTCTCAATATTATGATAAGACTAATAAAAAATTATCGGTAAATTTAAAGACGAAGCTGCTGTAATAGTAGTTAAAGAATTTGTTGATTTAAGAAGCAAGATGTGTAGTTATATTAAAGATAATAATAAAGGAGATAAAAAAGCTAAAGGAATTAAGAAAAATATTATTAAGAGTGAAATAAAACATGAAGACTATAAAACAACACTATTTGAAAACAAACAAATGCATCATACAATGAAAACTATTAGAAGTGTAAACCATCAACTTAATAGTTATGAAATTAATAAAGTATCACTAAGTTGTTTTGATGATAAACGATACATATTAAATGATGGATGTTCAACTTATGCTTATGGGCATTATCTTATTAATTCAAATAACTAAATATTAACAAACAGTTATAATGTGTAGTAAGCATGTAGCGTAGGCCTCTGTTAGAGTAAAATCATACATACCTGCTCCTCATTTTTGACTATCTATCACATAACTTTTGTAACCAGTAATTAATACAAAACGGTTTACCGTATATATACCTTTTGTAATAACTGTTTGCTGCAGGCAGATTGTAAAACAAAAATTATATAAAACATTGTATTATTATACATGCGCTGATATTTACATGTGCTGGTTACATAAAACAACCATTGTTAAAAAAAACATGCACTAAGACACACGCCTGACAGACAAATTAAAAAAACATATAGATTCCATATTATGTAAAGAGCATATGTGTGTCTGTTGCGCTCAAAATTCCCGGCTTGGAGCCGGAATTTTTCGCAGCGAAACAATGATTTAAAAAGATGCTTTGTTAACAACTGATTGTAAAAGAGCATATATTAAGCCTCTGTTATTCTCGAATTCTTCGAATTCTTCGAATATCACTTTGGGCTCCAAATATTTCTCTTCGAGAAAATTTTCCCCGCCGAGCCCTAAGGATTCTCGAAAATTCATTTCCCCTGCTCGATCATGGAGTAATATCACTTCGTGATATCACGTCATGATCTATGCTGCCGAATTTTCTCCGAACCGATGCTTTGTTAACATTTATTTGTAAAGATTGCTTGTAAAGAGCATATGTTAAATGTCTGTTGTCCTTCGGACACTACGGGTGCGCTCCTGATTCACTTCGTGAATCACCCACCGTCGCTGAGGATTCTCGGGGCTCCATTCCCTGCTCAATTTTAGCTACGCTAAAATTTGCGCTGCCGAGCCCCTCCGAACCGATGCTATGTTAACATTAATTTGTATAATTTAAACGCACCTATATATTTCAAAAACATATAGATTCCATATTTTTAAACGATAGATTGTAACCTCGAGATTTTTACCACCTTTTTTCCCACTACTTTGAGAACATGGGCTTTTTACACAGCTTTGTTTATATGGCCTTTTGCGTTGGTATCCCTTTGGAAACACGGCCTTTTCCCACTACTTTGAAACAATGAGTTTTTTGCGCAGCTTTGTTTACATGACCTTTTGCGTTGGTTACCCTTTGAACCATGGTTTATTTTGCGCTGATACCCCCATGTCTTATACTACTTAAGTTTTGTCTGCCTTTTTTTATTGTTTGATTAAGGCTTCTTTTAATCATATTTCCGTCAAAATTCTTTCTCCACACGAATGATGAAAAATTTCTTCTTGCTTGTTGTCATAGTATAATGACAAGTTAAAAATTGCAGAGATAATAATTGTTAAGACTCATAGCTATAATTTTTAAGACAGTTATGATACATAATATTTTTTCCAAACCAAAACTGATAATGGCCTTGCACGTTATTTCACAATCTTAATTGGCGGTGTTTGAAATACATTAGGCCTGCATACATACGAGTTAATTTACTGTTTTAATACTTTAATGCCTTCATTCAATCTGAAATGCACGCATGCCAAGGAAATAATCGATCCATTGGAAAATTACTGCTAACAAAAGAGCCTATGTCAATAATATGCAAGTAAAAGCACTCACAAAAACTCATGCAAAGTCTTAAGCAAACGGCGAATCTCTACCATGTAGAATGGCTACACAAAACAGAATCACGCCAATTTTGAGTAAGTTGAATTGGAATACAATTTCAATGTTAGATATGACTTTAGAAAATTTATGTTGTGATTTTGTTCATTATTTTAGGCCAGTGCGAAGTCTGAAAGTTGTGGGTAATTTGCCCCCCAAGTTGCGAACATAAAATCCATGTTGTCGGAGGTGGAAGAAAGACTGATTGAATGCTTGCCATCCAAATGTCCTATTTGCTTGTAAGTCAAATAATTAATATGCTTGCTAAATGTTGTAGTCGTTTTTTTTATGTATGTCTATTGCTTTATACTCTAGATGTTTTGACGAAGAAGTCGACAGATTTCTCGAAGATTTTTTTGAGTATATATTTTTAGAATTCTTTATCTTTTGAAAATTGATACAGTAGAACAGTAGGTAGGATTGATTTCTTTTTATTTCAGAGTGATCATTGCTAGTTTTTTCCAATAAAATAAAAATGTTTTATTTCAATAAAATTTATTTAAGAATATCAACGTCTCATTTTCTAATTTGTTCTTTTTTTCTGTCAAAAATATTTTTCTCCAATCATTGCAAGTGTACTTGATAAGTTCTAGCCCATTTACTATCGGAGTCATGTCTTGTAAGCTATCAAAGAAGGATTTCATGACTTCTTCCTCATCAATTTTTGATACTGCATCTTCAAAGTAAATCGCTACCCTTTCATCATTAGGCATCATCAAGCATTCATGGCGTTTTTGTGAGAGATGGTCAACGCGACAACGGTCACAGTCTTTTCCACAAGTTCGTATATTTTAAAACCAATTTCAGTGGCATAGCACTTCAACAATTTATTCTGTATATTGCTTTGGCGTTCATCTAAAACATGGCTCTCATCTTCAAATTCGAAGGACGATTCCTTCACTTTCCTTGCTTGCTCAATGTCTGCTTTTAAAGCCATTTTCGTTTTAGTAAGACAAAAAATACCAAATAACTTTAACTCATTAAAATTGTAACGTGTTCTCCTTTTTTATATTTGCAAAGGAAAAAAGAAAACGGATCTAATATTGCTTTAAGAATAGAAAACAATTGACAATTTTCATTAAGTTTCATCGTGTTTCAATTAATCATGTCATCCGATAGCAACCTTCGTTCATTTTATATCGTTTCCGGTTTACACGCGCGCGCCCTGTTTACTTCCTAGGACTGGAAACTAATTGACACGGGTAAGAGCTCCGTTTACTTCCGGGACCATACCTGCACCTTAACTACTTGTACATACAGCAATTGTGCACAAAGCATTACATGAGCAACTGAATCTTAAACAGTACCAGGGCATTAGGTGGCTTTTCGAAGTTGTGGGTGTTCCATGATATAACGCATAAAAGTTAATTGAGTGTTTAAACTGCTTCAACTTGTTCTTTTAATTTTTTTTACAAAACTTACGAAAATTGACCGAAATCCCTTCGTCAGAGACAGTTGACAAACCCTTCATCTTGTCATACAACCAACAAGTCAGAGATAGTTGACAAACCTTACATCATAACAAACCAGGGGCGGATTGAAACTACGTCACATTCAGCACGCGACGTAGTTAAATTCTCTACAGCAGCGGAAAAAATAAATCAAATTTTAAATTTCCCTAGTTCAAAATAAAAACAATTTGCTCGTGTGGATTGAAATCCGTTTTGTCGAAATTACCAAGAGCATTTTTCTATTCGCCTTTTGCAGGTTCGAATCTCGTCTCGGTATGGTGTACTTTGTTTCGTTGTGTGAATAATGATCATGAATTCTTTATCCGAAAATTAATTAAATTTTTTGTGTCCTCACAACGAAAGCATTAGAAAAATAAACATATTGTCAGGATTAGGGATAGTATTATGAGAATTTTGTGCAACAATGTGCATTCACTGAGCAATGTTATTGTTTCCAGGACCTGGATTAAGCATTGGATTAAGGGTTCAAGTGGCTAAAAATACTTATATTTCACTTGCGGGAGAAATACGTACCTGATGAATGCTCTGAATTTCCTGAAACTGTTGATGCAAATGATCGCAGTAGGTCCTTTCGACATGATTGGCTGAAGGATTATCTTTGGCTTTCGTATTCCCCAAGTCTTAATGGTGCTTTATGCTTACCCTGTGTTTTGTTTGGTGATAGGTTTCCCTCCAAAAACAGTCGAATTAAAATATTTTTTCAGAGCCATTAACACATTGGCCTGATGCCTCAAGTGCAATAAAAATGCATATAAGTACATCATCAGGTCTTCATGTTCACACGTCGGCTCTTCTTAAGGATATCTTGGATCAGAGTTCCGGTAAAAGCCAGCCAATAAATGTCATGATTGATAGTAACTTAAAGAAAAAGGTTTCAGAAAATAGGAAAAAATTAGTTCCAGTAGTTGATACCATCATTCTTGCAGGTCGCCTTCAATTACCACTTAGAGGTCATCGCGATGATTCTCAGTATCATCCTGACGTTGGTAAATATTCTGAAAAGCATGTTTGTAATTTTATTGAATTATTAAACTTCCGTGTTCGTGCTGGGGACACCATTTTGGAAGCCCATCTTAAGCATCATGATAAACATACCTCCTACATCTCTAAAACTACTCAGAATGAGTTAATTAGGTGTTGTGGTCAATTCTTCACTGAACTGCTTCTAGTTGAAGTAAAAAAGAGCACGTTTTATGCATTGATTGCAGACGAAACATGTGATATTTCTAATGAAGAACAGATGTCTTTGGTTTTGCGTTTTGTTGACGAGGAGTTCAACATAAGAGAAGAATTTTTTCGTTTCATTCATTGTAGTGAGGGTATGTCTGGGAAGAACCTTGCATCTATGATTTTGAAATGTTTAAACGAAGAGTTGAATTTAAACATTCAGGACTGTCGTGGGCAGTGGTATGATGGCGCAGGTGCTGTTGCTGGATGCATTAATAGTCTTGCTGCTAGGATTAAGAATTTGAATGGGAAAGCCATTTACACACATTGTTTCAGTCACAGATTAAATCTTAGTATTTGTGGGACTTGTGCTGTTCAGTATGTAAGAAATGTTTTGGAACATGTGAAGGAAGTTGCTAACTTTTTTAACTCTTCCCAATGCAGACAACTAATTTTGGAGAAATGCATTAGAGAAAACTGTCCAGATTCTGCAAAAAAGAGATTGAGAAGTGCTTGTAAGACAAGATGGGTCGAGCGTATTACTAGCTTAGATACTTTTGAAGAACTGTATGTTGCTATTGTTTTTCCTTGGAAGAAATGAGTTTTAACGTCGAAGGCAAGTGTAATCGTGAGACCTCTAGTAAAGCTTCCCCTCTGTTACATCTTTTGACATCTTTTGATTTTATTGCAGCAGTGGTAATAACTAGGAGTATTTTTGATCTTACTCTTCCAGTTACTCAGTTACTTCAGTCTTCTAGTAATGATATTGCTGACGGTTTGAACTTGATTGAGGCATTAAAAAAATTGTCGAGAACTGTAAGAAATGAAGTCGATGTTTATCATGCTAACTGGTACAGTATTGCATTGACGATGGCAGAAAAAGGGGGTGTTGAAGAGAAAAAACCTAGAACTTGTGGTCGTCAGGCAATTAGAAGTAATGTTCCGTCTGAATCTGTATCTGATTACTTTAAGAAAACAATAACCATTCCTTTAGCTGATCACTTGTGTTCTGAGTTAGAAAAAAGGTTTGATTCGTCAGCAACTAGCACATATTATGGCTTGTTTTTAATTCCATAAGTTACTTTTGTGACTTTCTTGTGGAGTTTCTTGTAAGGAAAAATTTTACCCATTTTCTTCTTTGTTCTTGGATGATCTTCCAAATCCAAAGGCTTTAGATGGTGAACTTGATCTCTGGCAGAAATACTGGGAATCGTCTTCTAAAACTGGTCTTCCTGAAAATGTCTCTTCTACTTTAAAGTCGGTAAATTTTCCAGGTTTTGAGAACATAAAATTATTGTTAAAGATCTTAGGTACTATTCCAGTAATTTCTTGTGAGTGTGAGAGGTCGTTCTCTGCTTTGCGAAGATTAAAGAACTATACAAGAAGTACTATGGCTGCTGACAGGTTAAATGGTCTTGCTTTATTGTATATTCATCAGGACACTAATCTAGATATAGAAAAGATTATAGATCTTTTTGCAAAAGACAAAAGAAGAATTGAACTAGCTTTCGAATTCGGAGTGAAAGTTCTTCATGCCTTTTTTAAACTCTTGACTGTAAATATAACTGCCGCTAACCTCAGTGAATATAAACACAAACAGTCGTTCTCAGGACTTTACTTATCTGGACGATCAAATCTACAAACATTTTTTTGCTTTTTTTTATAGACAACTTCATTTGATAAATTGACATGGAATCGTTTGCATAATAATCAGCATATATGTATGACGAGACCATTATAAAATGAAATTCCATATTAATGAAGCGTAAAGAATTTTTTTAGGCTAGGTTTGTAATGAACCAGGCCGTCCATTTCGGAAGCCCTCAAAGCATATTTTTCTGCGAGTTTCCTAGGCATGCTGATGAGCTCTGATATTAAACGAAACGGTCAAAATCAATAATTTATGAGCAAGAATGCTAGCTCATTCCAGTAATAAATATTTTGGAAGACCAACTGCAAAAACGCAGGAAATAGCGTTTTTCGCAATCCAATTTTAAAATTTTACCTTGGGGGACATGTTTCTGGACCCCCCTAGAAAAGTCGCGCTAATGGTGCGACATTGTGCCTAAGTTCATATACGAAGCTGGATCCGCCCCTGTGTTAAACAACCAGCAATTCAGACTCAATTGACAAACCATACGTCATGTCACAAAGCCAATTTGTCAGAGATAGTTGACAAATCTTACGTCATGTTATACAACGACCATGTCAGAGACAGCTAACAAACCTTAAATCATGTCATACAACCAACATGTTAGAGAAAGTTGACAAATTATAGATCATGTCATACAACAAACATGTTAGAGACTGCTGACAAACGATACATCATGTTTTATAACAAACATGTCAGAGATATCGTATGAATATTTTATGCAGTGCGGTGTTTGAAATTAAATGAAGATATGATCTTCGCACTTTGCTGGACAATTTAAGCAATCGTCTTAGGATCTGAAAAAATCAGGTGACTCAACGGGATTCGAACCCATGACCTCTGCGGTGCTGGTGCAGTGCTCTGACCAACTGAGCTATGAAGTCACACTGTGGTGAGCAGGTCAATATTGAAATTAAATGAAAACATGAGCCCAACAATATTGACCTGCTTACCACTGTGTGACTTCATAGCTCAGTTGGTCAGAGCACTGCACCGGCACCGCAGAGGTCATGGGTTCGAATCCCGTTGAGTCACCTGATTTTCTCAGATCCTGAGAAGATTGCTTGAATTGTCCAGCAAAGTGCGAAGATCATATCTTCATTTAATTTCAAACACCGCACTGCATAAAATATTCATACGACATTCCTTTCACGAGAAAACATGAGCCAAACAATATTGACCTGCTCACCACTATGTGACTTCATAGCTCAGTTGCTCAGAGCACTGCACCGGCACCGCAGAGGTCATGGGTTCGAATCCCGTTGAGTCACCAGATTTTTTCAGAACATGAGACGATTGCTTAAATTGTCCAGCAAAGTGCGAAGATCATATCTTCATTTAAACATATCAGAGATAGTTGACAAACCTTACATCATGTCATACAACGAACATGTCATACAACCAATATGTCAGGACAGTTGACAAACCTCACATCATGTCATACAACCACCATGTCAGAGACAGTTGACAAACCATACATCATGTCATACAACAATATGTCAGAGACAGTTGTCAAACCTTTTATCAAATCTGACAACCACCATATTAGAGACAATTGACAAACATTACAGCATGTCATACAACCAACATGTCACAGACTTAAAGTAAGTGGTTTGAACCCTGGAGTATCATTACGTGTTTGTAAATGTAGGGTTGCAAGATGATTGGTCTAGTAGTCGGTCACTTTGTGTTTGCTTGCGATAAACTGTTGTTCCTAGTTTTTAAGTGTCATATTTACCAAACAGTCAAGAAAAGGAAGAGTTCCGTTTTCTTCAACATCTTTGGTAAATTGTATGTGGCTGTTCTGTTTGTTGATAGGAGTGTAAAAGTCATCACTCTCGTCTGCATGTAGTGCTGTGATTGTGTCATCTACGTAGCGGAAACAAAGAGGTACTACATGTTTGTAAGTCGTGAGCGCCCGTTCCCCTATAGATTGCATTACAATTTCAGCAACTACAACAGAAACGGGCGAGCCCATTGCTGTCCCATGTAATTGTTTGTAGTGTGTACCTTTGTACTGGAAGTAAGTCGAAGTGAGGCAGAGCTCCAGTAGCTCCATAATGGCTTCTGGCGGTAATGCCACTACGTCCATTGTGTTTGTAATGGGGGTTTTTGTACAAGTAAGTGCCAGATTAAGTGGAATACTGGTGAACAGTGATTTCACATCAAAAGAAACTAGTATATAGTTGTCCGGTATTTGTATAGTGCTCAGTTTTTTAATGAAAGTTTTAATGGACTGTAACTTATGTTTTGTTTTATTTGTAAGTGGTTGCAGTATGTCAGCCAAGTACTCTGAGAGTTCGTAAGTAGGCGAACCATAGAATGATACAATTGGTCGAATGAGTATTTTTGGCTTGTGAAATTTTGTTAGTCCGTATAGTCTGGGTGGTCGTGGTACTGAACATCTGGGTCGATAGTAAATACGTTCGGATATAATATTAGATTTTCTCATAGAGAAGATCTTATTGTTAAGTTTGCGTACTAGTGATGGTGTTGGGTCTTGTTCGACTTGTTCGTACGTTTGTCTTTCGTTAACAAGGGTGTCCATTTTGTTGAAGTAATCATTCCTGTCCAAGACCACAGTCACGCGTCTTTTGTCTGCTGGTAAAATGATGATGTTGTTGTCGTGTTTTAGTCGTTTGAGTGTTTTTTATTCGTCCTTTGTAAGTTGTTGTCATGTATAAAGGACGATTGTAAAGTGGAGGCTACCTATCTTCTGATCTCCTCTTTGGTTGTCTCCGACAAGTCTTTTTGATACCCTAGGACAGCCTTGACACTTGATACTATCGTGTCGTTGAGATTCGTCTAGGTATTATGGAATGTTTTAGTCCGGAGGATAGTAGTCGCGTTTCAGTTTTGTCTAATAAGCGAGAAGAAATATTCCTCACCCAGTTATCGTCATGTTTATGTCTTGTACGTGTTTTAGTTTGTTTTAAAAGTTCAAGTTTTTGTTGTTGTTTGATTTGGTGTTGTGTCTCTGTCTTGTTTGCTCATTTCTGTGCAATAGTTTGTATCGTAGAAAGTAAAGTATCACTTACTGTCGTTGGTATGAGTTCTTTCAGTTTGTTCAGTCTTTGTTCTTGTTGTTTGATGTAATAGTTGATTCGTCTGTGACATTCGTTAATCCGTGCTCGTAACAGTCGTCTGCTGGTGGATTTGACAATCTGAATAGCCTCTTGTGTATTCAACGGGGACTTAATTCTAAGTCCTGCCGGAACGAACCAAAATCGTTGCAGCGGTGGACTAACCATAGTTGTTGGCGTATGCGTCTGACGCTGCTTGCATAACGTATGTAGTCCTTAGCAAGTTGTTCGCTCTGTCGTCCAAATGATCGTACAAACGTAAATGGTTTCAACCCAGGAGTATCGTTACATGTTTAAAAATATAGATCGTCCAGGTTGGTACAGTCCTGAGAATGACAGTTTTTGTTGTTGTTGACTGACGTTGCGACAACCTTAGCGGTAGTCATCTTCAGAGTCCAAAAAAAAAATTTCCTTTAATGGGGCCTATTCCTGCACAGAAAATTATCAAATGAGCACAAACGTCGAAGTTATACAGCTATCGAGATCATTTCGATGTCAAATTGTTATACAAAACATGTTTTATCCATTACGGATAGTTGAGACTAGTAAAAGGTCGTGAAATGCGTTAAATAATCGAAAACTATGTTTGTCATATGTTTGTATCTCCTGCGGAAATGAATTTTGCATAGAAAATTAGGGTTTAATTTTCGCTAACTATAGAAATTATTAAATGAGGATATGATCTTCGCACCTTGCTGGACAATTTAAGCAATTGTCTCATAAACCTGAAAAATTCAGGTGACTCAACGGGATGACTCATGACCAATTGCCCATGACCAATTGCACATGACACAATTGCTTAAATTGTTCAGCAAAGTGCGAAGATCATATCTTCATTTAATTTCAAACAACGCACTGCATATAACA